ACAAGTGACTGTACCTTTCTAGTGTCCCAAAGAATTTCAAATGGCGATCCTGTGCCAACAGATGCATGTTTCCCCCAGGAACAAGAGGCCACAATGCTCGTCAAAGCATCTACATGGCACTTTTCAGCAGCTCTTTCGAAGCATTTTCTTGGGGTCTGAAGTAGAGACAATATAAAGATACTTTAGAATGACAGATAGCAAAGAATAGGAAATACACAATCCATATCAAGAAAACAGAAAATGTTCTTACAAACAGGGTAGCCTCCATGAATGGTACTTGAAGATTAAGTGATCTTGACAATGATTTAATACCACCAGCATTAAAACCAATCAGATTGCCACCACATGTCATGCTGTTGGCCAACAAAAGGAGATGATCTTTCAAAACACCTTTTGTAACCATTGTGACAGATGTGGACAGACGCTATAAAATAAAACTAAAGGTTAATCTTTTGGAAAGATGAATAAAGAAATATAAACACGTGACCTGACCAAAGATTTCACACAGATTATATTATTGCTAGAAAACTCTGCAAAACTGACTTAACAGCAAAAATAAATTTTATGAATTTTATAGGTTGATTAATAAATTTCATAATATTCCAATATACTAAAATATAATTTACTAATTGAATAAATAATAGTATTCAATTACTTTATTACGCAAAAACTTCTACTTATAAGCAATTATATCAATCCAGAAGGGTACAATTTCCAAATGAAAGAAGGGTTCAAATATTGGCAAACTCTAAATTATAGGATTTGCAAGAAAATATCCTGCAGGACTCCAGCTCCCACAACCTTCTATCAGAAAATAAGGCCTTAGAGAAATACTCGCAAGGATGATAACAAAGAAGATGATTATGGTAGCTCACTATCCCTTAAAAGTTAAAACTCAACGAACTTAAAAAATGTTAAGGAATGAAATTGTTTTCGGATGACAAATTTAATGGCAGCATTTTCCAATTCCAGTAGTGCCAAGAAGCAATGACCCCACCAAACATCTTCCCCGAATCTTATCTAGTTTCCAATCCCCACATCCCAGTTAGTGAATCGAATGAAATAAGAAAACCCAGATATATGAACTTCAAATAGTTCCTAAAAAAAGGTCTCTCGCATCCATGAGATTTCAATCCATATTTGACTTTCACAACCTTTCCAAATAAATATAGTAGACAAGTAGTTCTATAGAAAACCTCCGACACCATTTTCTGTAACTTGAGAATACCCAATCCAAAACCTCCTCCGCTATTGCTTTCTAGAAGCTAAATCCTAAGCTACCAAACGATTCCTTCGAACTTCTCCCCATTTTCCAATTAAAAATCTCTTATAAATCTTTTGACACATGCAACCACCCAACTTAGCATCTTAAACCTTGAAATGTAATATATTAGAATGCTACACAAAATAGCTTAAATGCAAGTTAGTCTATGCCCTCGAAAGAAGGGAAATTTCTTCCACTTGTCCAGCTTTCAGTCACTCTGCCAATGACCACTGACCAAAAGTCATAAAGTAAGGATTGCCAAACAGTGAAGGCCCGGCATTTCAGAATTAATTGAACAACCAATTCCAGATGCCAAACTCTGAACAAAGCTCTATCACTATTTATCCCTAATATCATTGTTCTATTATGAGCCTGTTTGAGAGTGATTTTGAGAATTGATTTTTTGGCTGTTAGGAAAAAAGTGGGATTCACATGTGAGAGAAGAAGTCAAATATAACGGCTGGAATAGTGAAATAACGGTAAAAAAATCGATTTTTTGGAGGGAAAAATCGCTCCCAAACAGGCCCTATACTTAAGACACAATAACAAGGTGAAAAATCATTATACCTAGAAGGGTACGAAAAGGAGCCTACACTATGTCATCTGCAAATTGTAAATGTGAGGCTTATGCCCTAAATGGAACTGAAAGTGGATTGTGCTTTTCATCTAGTGTGAGAAATAGTATATTATAGCTCCCCAACAGATTCCAGCAGTCTCCTTTCACGTCTCATATTTTACCAACAAAGAAGCCTCCTTTGCCCTCTATACTAGCCGCCCTATGAGATATTCGACTAATGTGAACAATAGAGATGACAAGGGATCACCTTGTCTTGATCCTCCCGAAGCCCTGTATTTACCCCTTGCTTTGCCATCAATAATGATTGGATAAACGAAACCATTCTAAGACAACCATTAATCCATTTCCTCCACCTCGAACCAAAATATTCTGTCTTATAAAGGAATCCAAAAACTCGCAATCTACATGATACATGCCTTCTCAAAATCATTCCTAAGAACAAGCCCCTTTATTTATAGCTCTGTATTCCTCCGAAAGCAGACATTACTAAGTTAATGGTTTGGAAATGGAGGCCAAGTCGTTACAAAAACACGCGTTTTTTGTAATGACATAGACCTCGTGCCCGGCCTTTCTCTTAAGTACCGTCCACTTTGGATAGCTTAAGCCCTTCTTACCAGTATCATGATTCAATTTAAATCTTAAGTAAAAGGTCATGGTTCGAACCCTGAGGACACAATAAAAAGCCGTGATGGGTAAGATGAGGTTAGGCTCTCCCAAAATGGACAATACGTTAGATTCAATTTAAGTCATACTTAAGGGAAAGGTCATAGGTTCGAATCATAGAGACACGATAGAAAGTCGTGAGGGTAAGATGGGGCTAGGATCTCCCCAAGTAGACGGTACATAAGAGAACGGCTCAACACGAGGCCTAGGTCGCTACAATTCTCCCCCCGTTGACCTATACCCCACATCAAATTTCAATTTTTCAAATATATTACCTCCAAAGAAAGAAATGATTTCTTTTTTAAGAAACTCACCCTTCTGAAACGCCTCACCTCCTCCAAACCCAAATAAAGAGAGAAAAAGGTATAAACATAACAGTAGTTCTTCAAATAAACAATCAAAAAGACAAAAAAGTTCCATGTGTGTATGCACATCTCTAAGACGTGATGGCACGAGAGAGAGAGAGAGAGAGGATGGCAAGAGATATATGAAGATACCTGAACAGCTTGCTCAAACGCACAAGAAATACCAAGCAACTCTTGCACTTGTTTTACAGCATATGGGATCGATCGCTTGATATCAATCAAATGGAGAACCGGTAAGCAGGAGTCCATGACAACCCTCCAGGCATCTCCACTCTTTCTGACAGCTTTTTTTTCAAGAATTATATCAAGAGCCAACTCACCATTTTGGTTCTTAGAAGGGCTCCTAATCGAAGTTGCGTCAGAATTAATCCAAATTATATTCGCAGCAAGAACCATAGGATCACCTGCGGATTCATGATTAAATATACGTCCACAGTCAGTACAGCCTCGAGCAGAGGGTCCACAATCCACTTCTTTCCAACAATAAAGCACACTATGCAAAGGAATAGAAACCAAGAAATTTGAGAAGTTTTATTACAGGTAATAACACTATTAACTCTTGAATGAACTAGGATATTCTCAAAATAGAACAAATTAGATCCTAGGTCAAAGATGACTTAGATATTATACAGCACAAAGAAACATAGAATCTTTCAGATATGTATAGATAATAAAATCTACAATTAGAAACAAATCATATAAATACCTTTAATAATAGTTTCTAACAACACAGGGCAAACTGTATCAGCAAGAATATGAGAAATCCTCTCTAAATGGTCATCATTTGCCCCTATCCAAAAGAACTGCAAGCACGGAATGTTGGTCGACTTGCTTTCGGCAGAGTGGCAAAAAGAACAACAATTGCTGCAGACAAGTAAAATGTCTCAATATCTAATACTTATGTTTGGTCCAATTACTAAACAATGAAAATTTTAATTTTGATGCAAAACTAAAGAAGAATCGATCAATCAGAGAAAAAGAAACGAATAGCTTTGCAACTAGAATATCCTATCAAATACAATGATCTAACCAAGTAGACATGGTTGCTATGAGTTATTTGCTATTCTAATCCATTTTGCCATAAATTAATTTGGAAGCAAAATTAAAGAAACCATAAAATATTATGCCATTTGACAATTCACGTTACTATTAAAATTATCACCCAAGCTATGATAATTCACTTAAGACGAAAAGAATCTATATCATCCTTAATGCAATTACAAGCAACAGTAGCACCTTCATATAGAAAACATATCAAAGAATAAAGCCCATGTGATTGAAATGGTTGGACAGTACATGACCATAAAGTTTATATGCTTGGAAAGTTGAGACAGCAAAAAGTTGGAATCATGAGAATATTGCCAATTTGCCATGTAATGTTATAGAGTGGTGGGTTGCCAACCATTCTGAACAAGCCCCAAATACTACAGTTGCTTAAATATACAATACTGCTTACAAACTAAGCACTACTCGCGATAAATTTGGGTCCGTACGAATCCTTTCCTTACCATTCCAAACATTTCATCTCTATACGTGATTTCAATCCAATAAAATTAAAACAGGTGCAATCATATCAAGCTATGTTAATTATGATCAATTTCTCACTCTTCTGACCATTCTATTGATCATATTACTTCTGTGTCAATGGGAATGTCTTTATGTCATCCCAAGACACGACTCAACCACCCAAATCATCCTATCCTAACCTTCAATTTGTTGCTTGTCTCCAATCCTATGCATAACAAGTCCTTGTTAATAATTTCACCAAATAACCGTATCCAGCACCACCAACCTATGATGCATAGATAGTTCTCACTAGGAACTACTTCACAATCCTCGCACGATGATCCATCAACATTCCTAGAATGATAAAACCTATAACCTATTTGAGTAATCTGTTGTCAGTTTATAGAAATTATTGGGTGTCTCTTTTTGAAGCACATGCTAAGACACATAAGTCATCCAAAGTCCAAAATAGTATCTTCCTCATTTTGATCCCAAAGCCAAAATTTCTGTGTACTTATATTATAAG